TCTCTACTAAAAATACTAAAAATTAGCTGGGCATGGTGGCGTGTGCCTGTAATCCCAGCTACTCAGGAGGCTGAGGCAGGAGAATTGCCTGAACCCAGGAGGCGGAGGTTGCGGTGAGCCGAGATCGTGCCATTGCACTCCAGCCTGGGCAACAAGAGCGAAACTCCGTCTCAAAAAAAAAAAAAAAAAAAAAAAAAGACAATTTTTCTGCCAACGTGGCCCAGGAAAGCCAAAAGACTGGACACCTCTGTATTAACTGAATATATGTATAATTTATGCTGAAGCCAAAGAGGCCCATTAGCTATGTCTTCTAAGTGTTAATGTTCTGCAGCCTCTTTCTCTTTGACCACAACTTTCTCCAGCTATTTTGAGATATTTTCTTTACCATACCTTATCTATTTATAAAAATTTTATTTTTCGGGTTGGTCATGGTGGCTCACGCCTATAACCCCAGCATTTTGGGAGGCCAAGGCAGGTGGATCACCTGAGGTCAGGAGTTCGAGACCATCCTGACCAACATGGCGAAATCCTGTCTCTACCAAAAGTACAAAAATTAAGCCACGCATGGTGGTGGATGCCTGTAATCCCAGCTACTTGGAAGTTTGAGGCAGGAGAATCGCTTGAACCTGGGAGGCAGAGGTTACAGTACGCCGAGATTGTGCCATAGTACTCCAGCCTGGTGACAGAGCAAGACACCATCTCAAAAAAAAAAAAAATATATATATATATATATATATATATATATATATATATAGACCCTAGACCCCAGCTCTCTTTTGTCTACTTTTCTCTGATCTTTTTGTGTATCTCTCACGCTAGTCAGCATATGATGTCCTGCTCATAGTTATTTACATCATCTTCCCTTCTTATTCATCTTTATATCAAGCAGGGTGCCCAGCTACATTGTCTTTTATCATCTTAATAATCTAATCTTTTCAAGGAGACAATCTACACAGTTTTCTTAGAATAAACAGATACTAGATGCAGGGAGACAAGACTAGAAGGAAGGAAAGAAGGAAGGAGAGAGGTTTGTTAGGAGACCAGTGAGAGACTGACAGCTTGAATTTGGGCCTTATTGGTAGGCTGAGTAAGAGGGAATACATTTGAGAGATGTTAGGAGGGTAGAAGTAACAGGACTTGGTTAGTGATCTGTCACAGGAGACAGGAAGAGGCAGGAGTGAAGGATTATCCCCAGATTTTGGGCTCGGGTAACCTGGTAAATGGGGTGGACTGGAAATCCAGAAGGAAGGAGAGGATATGAGGTCAGGCTGAAGGTGAGTTGGAACAATGGGTACAGGATGACTTTAGTTTGGGAAATGTTAATTTTGAGACATTTGGAATATGCAAAGAAAGATATTCAGGAGGCAAATGGAGACAGGAGACTGACACCCAGAAAAGAGGTCTGATTAGAAGTATGAACGTGTGAATCATCAACACATAAGTGATATTTAAAATCACTTTAAGCCGGGTGCGGTGGTTCTTGCCTGTAATCTCAGCACTTTGGGAGGCTGAGGTGGGAGCATCGTTTGAGCTCAGGAGTTCAAGACCAACCTGGGCAACATAGTGAGACTCTGTCTCTTTAAAAAAATTGAAAAATTAACCCCGTGTGGTGGTACGTGTCTGTAACCCCAGTTACAAGAGAGGCTAGTTACAAGGGAAGATCATTTGAACCCAAGAAGTTGAGGCTTCAGTGAGCTGTGACAGTACCATCACACTCCAGCCTTGGTGACAGAGTAAGACTCTGCCTCAATCAATCAAATCATTTTAGGGAAATATGATATCTCCCTAGAAATGCTTAGGGGGCTAACAACAGAGGCCTAGCAAATACTCACATTTAGGTGTTGGACAGAAGCAGAGGATCTTTAAAAGGGGCCCAGGAAGAAATGGTTGAAGAAACAGAGTGAGAAACTAAATAAAGCATGCCAGGTATAGTGGCTCACATTTGTAATTCCAGCACTTTGGGAGGCCGAGGCAGGAGGGCTGCTTGAGCCCAGGAGTTGAGGCCAGCCTGGTTAACATGGCAAGACCTCATCTCTACAAAAAAGTTTTTAAAATTAGCTAGGCATGGTGGTATGTGCCTGTGGTCTCAGTTACTCAGGAGACTAAAGCAGGAGAATAGTTTGAGCCAGGAAGGTTGAGGCTGCAGTGAACTATGTGTGTTCATGCCACTGAACTTTAGCCTGGGCAACAGAGCAAAACTTTGTCTCAAAAAACAAAACGAAACAAAACACACACACACACACACACACACACACACACACACACACACACACACATACACACAATGAAACTAAGGAAAGCATAAGGGAAATCATGGCAGGAGATTTCCAAAAGGAACTGTTAACACTGTCAAAGATTGTGGATTGTTCAAATAAAACAAGGATCGAAGAGCACCTGCTGTATTTGGTGATATTTATCAGTACAGTTTCTAAGCAATGCTAGGTTCAACATTAACTTGAGTGATACAAAACTTACGTTGAATGCCTGCCTACCATTATGTCAAATATATGATTAGCTTATAAAATGTGCTGCTTTTTGCTTTCTTCTTTTCTCACTGTGGTAAAATACATACAACATAGTATTTATCACTTAACCATTTGTAAGCTTACAATTTGGTAGTATCAAATACATTCACGGCTAGGTGCAGTGGCTCATGCCTGTAATCCCAGCACTTTGGGAGGCTGAAGCAGGTGGATCACCTGAGGTCAGGAGTTCAAGATCAGCCTGGCCAACATGGTGAAACCCCATTTCTACTACAAACACAACAATGAGCCAGCGTGGTGGTGTACCTGTAATCCCAGCTACTCAGGAGGCTGAGACAGGAGAATTGCATGAACCCAGGAGGCAGAGGTTGCAGTGAGCCAAAATCATGCCACTGCACTCCAGCCTAGGTGAAAGAATGAGACTCTATCTCAAAAACAAAAGCAACAACAAAAATATATTCACAGTATTGTACAACCATTACTACTATCTATACCTAAAATGTTTTCATCATCCCCACAATGAACTCTGTATCCACTAAACAGTAACTTCCCCCTTAGTTCCCTGAGGCTCTGATAACCTCTATTCTACTTTCTGTCTCTATGGATTTATCTATTCTAGGTACTTTATATAAGTGGAATCATATAATATTTGCCCTTCTGGGTCTAGCTTATTTCACTAAGCATAATGTTTTCAAGGTCCATCCATGTTGTAGCATACATTAAAATTTAATTGCTTTTTATGACTGAATGGTTTTCTACTGTCCATATATGCTACATTTTTTTTTTTGAGGCGGAGTTTCGCTCGTTACCCAGGCTGGAGTGCAACGGCGTGATCGTGGCTTACTGCAACCTCCGCCTCCCGGGTTCAGGCAATTCTCCTGCCTCAGCCTCCTGAGTAGCTGGGATCACAGGCACGCACCACCATGCCCAGCTAATGTTTTGTATTTTTTTTAGTAGAGATGGGGTTTCACCTTGTTGACCAGGATGGTCTCGATCTCTTGACCTCGTGATCCACCCGCCTTGGCCTCCCAAAGTGCTGGGATTACAGGCTTGAGCCACCGCGCCCGGCCAGATATATGCTACATTTTGCTTAAGCTTTCATTTGTTCATGAACATTGAGTTGTTTCCACCTTTTGGCTACTGTTAATAATACGACGAACATAGGTATAGAGATATCTGTTCAAGTCCCTGCTTTCAATCCCTTTAGATATACACCTAAGAGTGGAATTGCTGGGTCAAACAGTAGTTCTATGTGTGACTTTTTGAGGAATAGCTATACTGTTTTCCACAGTGGCCACAACGTTTTATATTCCCACCAGAAATGCATGAAGGTTTCAATTTCCCCACATCCTTCCCAACACCTGTTATTTTCCATTTTTTTCTATTATAGCCATCCTAGTGGGTGTGAAGTAATATCTCATAAGTTTCATTTGCATTTCCCTAATGATAATGACGCTAAGCTTCTTTCCATGTGTTTGCTGGCCACTTGTACATTTGTATACCTTCTTTGGAGAAATGTCTAATCAAGTACTTTGCTATTTTTGATTTTTTTAATCAATTATTAGAGTTCACACACACACATATATATAATATACACACATTATATATTTGTTACTTATCACACCTCATTATTCATATAACAAAATATATAAGTTGAGACTCAAGTGCTTTGCTATTTTTGATTTTTTGTTGAGTTATTAAAGTTCTTTATATATATAATATACACATTATAGATATATAAAGTGGCTATATTTGTTATACGTCATTATTCACATAAGTTAAGGCCTTCTTTGACACAAATAACATGATGTTGATATTATTTGTATCAAAGGTCTTAACTTATGTGAATAATAAGGTATAATAAAGCCACTTGTGGCTCAAGCCTGTAATCCCAGCACTTTGGGAGGCCGAGGCGGTTGGATCACGAGGTCAAGAGAACAAGACCATCCTGGTCAACATGGTGAAACCCTGTCTCTACTAAAAATAGAAAACATTAGCTGGGCATGGTGGCACGTGCCTGTAATCCCAGCTACTGAGGAGGCTGAGGCAGGAGAATTGCCTGAACCCAGGAGGCGGAGGTTGCGGTGAGCCGAGATCATGCCATTGCACTCCAGCCTGGGTAACAAGAGCGAAACTCCGTCTCAAAAAAAAAAAAAAAAAAAAAATACAGCCACTTTATATATATAATGTGTATATTATACAAATAACATGATGTCATTGTATCAACAAATATATTTTTATATATTTTGTTATGTGAACTTGTATATTTTATGGAATAATGAAGTAAAATAAATAAAACAAACATAATCAAATACCTGTTAGAGTCTTGAAAATTTTTCTTATTAAGAAACCCACATGTATTGTTGGTCAATATAGTGATTTTACTCATTGTTGAAATATGCTTTATTACTAAAGAATTTAAGCAATAACATATTTCTTTTCTTTCATTCATTTTCTCAATAACTAAAACATTTTCCTTGATACTTTAAAAATTGAGAGGTGCTTAACTATACTTACTTTCCAGTGGTTCTTTCTCTAAGTGGGTACCCTCTGGTGCATCAAAACGACCTTCTGGTAACTTTGGCTTCTTAAGGGACTGTTTGACAAGTTCAGACTTTCCTCCTTGAGAAGAACTTGTTTTCCTCAGAGAATGACGCAAAAGCGGTGATCCTAGAAAAGTAGGGATAACAGAAAAATATTATTCCACTTCAAACATTTATAAATTTTATTTATTTGTTTTTAGTTTATACATTCACATTTCTCAAAGTACAAAAAGATACAGAGTGGAAATTCTTCCTTAGGCAGCCATTTCCCTTCCTGGATGACTACCAGTCTGAAAAGAAGGGCTATGAAATAAATTAGTTAACCATTATCAACATTGCAGAAACTTGTATTAAAACATTAATACCTATCTGAAGCAATGCCAAAAAAAAAAAAAAAAAAGGAGTTTGAATATTAAGAGTAACTTAGTGGTACAAACTTTTCAAGAACAATATTTAGGATTCAAATCTCTGTATTGTTCCAATTTTATTATATATGCTGCTGAAGCGAGCACTAGGATTCAACTCTAAAAGTCACAAGTGGCTATATTTAAATCCTAATTATGGTCCTTTTTTCTGTCAACCAAAACTTTAAGAATACATCAAGTTGGGCACAGTGGCATGCACCTGTAGTCTTAGCTATGCAGGAGGTTGAAGAGGGAGGATTGCTTGAGTCCAGGAGTTCGACTCTAGTCTGGGTAACATAGTGAGACCATGTCTCTAAAAAAACATCGTTTTATGGGGAAAGAACTCCCTATTTGATAAATGGTGCTGGGATAGTTGGCAGCTATATGCAGAACAATGAAACTAAACCCCTATCTGTCATCACATACAAAAATTAACTTGAGATGGATTAAAGATTTAAATGTAAGACCTCAAACTGCTAGAATCCTACAAGAAAACCTAGGAAACACTATTCTGAACATTGACCTTGGTAAAGAATTTATACCTAAGTCCTCAAAAGCAATTGGAACAAAAACAAAAATTGCCAAATGGGACCTAATTAAACTAAAAGCTTCTGTACAGTTAAAAAAAAAAAGAAAGAAAGAAAGAAAGAAAGAAACTACCAAAAGAATGAAGTAAACATACGACTTACAGAACGGGAGAAAATATTTGCAAACTACATATCTGAGAAAAGTCTCATATCCAGAATCCATAAGGAACTTAACTCAACAAGCAAACAACCACATCACTAAAACATAGACAAAAGACATGAGAGAGACACTTCTCAAAAGAAAACATACAAGCGGCCAACAAACATATTAAAAAATGCTCCACATCACAATTATTAGATGAATGCAAATTAAAACCACAATGAGAGACCATGTCACATCAGTCAGAATGTCTATTATTAAAAAGTTAAAAAAACAACAGATGCTGGTGAGGCTGTGAGAAGAGGGAATGCTTACATACTGCTAGTTCAGCCATTGTGGAAAGCAGTTTGGAGAGTTCTCAAAGTAATTAAAATAGAACTATCATTTCACCCAGCAGTCCTGTTGCTGGGTATATACCCAAATGAATGCAAATTTTTCATACCAAAAAGACACATGCACTTGTATGTTCACTGCAGCAAAGACACAGAATCAGCCTAGGTGCCCATCAATGGTGGACTGGATAAAAAAAAAACATGGTATATATATACCATAGAATACGATGCAACCATAAAAATAATGAAATAATGTCCTTTGTGGCAACATGCATGCAGCTGGAGGCCATTATCCTAAGGGAACTAATGCAGGAACAGAAAACCTGCATGAGAATATCATATATTCTCTTGTATAGTTCTATAGAGTGGAACACTGGATACTCAGGAACATCAAGAAGGCAATATTAGAAACTGGGTACTACTATGGGGGAGGGAAGGAGGGAGTACAAAGGTTGAAAAACTAACTTTTGGGTCATTACCTTGGTGGTGGGATTACTTGTACCCCAAATCTCAGCATCACACGTATACCTAGGTTAACAAACCTACATATGTACCTCTGAATCTAAAATAAAACTTGGAATTTTAAAATACACTGGATGTCTGCAATGTGTAAATGAGATCATTTTCTCCCTAGTTTGTAAAGAGAGTTAAACTTTCAGTGCTATGAAAGTTATCCAAACCCTTCTTGAGATAATGTTCAATAAGGGCAAAACCACAGGGAAAAAAGTGATCTCAGCGTTAAGGGTTTTCGGCCTACTAAAGAAATTGCTTCAGAAGCAGAAAAATTTGGGTACAAGTTCCAGCTACAACACTGTGGCAAGCAGAATAGTGGCCTCAAAGATAATCAGAATCCAATACCCAGAATCTGTGAATAAGTTTGGTTACATCGTGAAGAATTTTGGTAGCAGACAGAATTAAGGTTGCTAATCAAATGACCTTAAAATAGGGAGATAATCCAGGATTACGGGGTGGGTCAATGTAACCACAAGGGTCCTTTAAAATGGAAGAGGGAGTTGGAAGACAGACCTGACCCAATGTTGCTGGCTTTAAAGATGGAGGAAGGGGGCAAGCTAAGGAATGTGGGCAGCCTCCAGAAGCTTAAAGAGAGAAAGAAATGGATGCAGCCTCCAGAAGGAACACAGCCCTACTAACTCCCTGGTTTTGGCTCAGTGAGACCCCTTTCAGACTCCTGATCTCCAAAACTGGAAAATGTGTTAAGCCACTAAATTTGTGATAATATGTTATAGCAGCAATAGGAAACAAATGCAACCACTTACTAGGGGTTTGACGTTGGTCAAGTTTCCCTGTTTCCTTCCCTCTAAATAGAAAATCGTAATACCTATCACATGAGATTGCTGAATAAATGGGACAATTATGCATTTAGTGTAGTGACAAACAGTATCTATTGTTATTTTGATGGAATTATTTGTAAGCTCTTGACAGCACTATACATAATTAGAATGTTTTTTCATTACACATACCTTTCTCATATTCTAGCCATCACTACATAATCCTACCTTGTTTAAAGAAATAGACACAAATATATATGCATACAGTTAAGATAAATGAATATGTGTATGTCTGTTTATGTGTACACAGTGAGTAAGGGCATCAATAACTTGAGCCTAACTCTAAGATGCATAAGTTAATTTGCATAAGGGTTTCTGGTGAAGAACAGAAAACTGTATCTTGGGAAAAGGGAAGAATAGCAAAGTCTAAGTTTGAGAAACTAGTCCCTAATATGATGTTGCAGACTTCTTAAAGACTTTATCTGTAGAAAGAGGGTTTACAAGGAAAAGTTGAAAGACCAGTTTTCTCAAGGGACTCTGAGGCCATTGGAAACATAAACAGAACTATTTTTGTAGTCAGGTAACTGTGACAGAATACGGGGGAAGATAATGCCCTGCATTCCTCTATAGTACAAGGTAAGAAGGGACACTGTGCTCCTCGGTACCTGCAGGCTTTACAGCTTTGGACACAAGTGTGTGCACATCAGCCTGCCAGGGGTGCTGGTAGTGAAGCACATACAAGTAGCTTCAAAGGCAGATCATAAGAAACAAAGGGCGTGCCAGATGAGGAGCTAAGCCCAAGGACCACTCCTATTAATTCTGCCTATTAAATAGTATGTGTTCAGCAATAGTAACTGTATTAACGTTTGTATTTCATTTTGGCTATCAGCAGACTTCTGACTACCTTGACCACACAGGAAACAGCTGACAAACTTAAAGTAAAAGCCATCTTTTAACAGTGTAAGGAAATAACCATGAAGCCCAGGTCTTCTACTTCAAGGGGTGGTTTGACTTTATCCAAACCTATTTAGAATTGTGTTTACATGGACAAAATAGACAAGAAAACCTTCTAAAAGAAGAAATAATAAAAGCAAAAGAATGACTCTCTCACACATACATACACATATACAAAAACAACACACAACTCAAAGCTTTTGTCTCTGGCAATTTGAGAAATGAGAAATGCCAAAACCCTACAGACATAAAATACCTAAAAAGGTTAAAAAAAAAAAAAATCCCTTCTAAATCAAAGATAGAACCTTTACAAAAGTAAATAATGATAAACTGAAAAAACAGTCCAGTGAGGTAAACAAAGTGAAAAGCTACATTTCCTGTCTTTTTTTTTTTTTTTGAGACAGAGTAAATATTAGCCACCACACCTAGTTAATTTTTTATATTTTTAGTAGAGATGAGGTTCCATCATGTTGACCAGGCTAGTCTTTTTTTTTTTTTTTTTTTTTTCCAGAGTCTCGCTCTGTCCCCCAGGCTGGAGGGCAGTGGCACAATTTCAGCTCATTGCAACCTTCACTTCCCAGATTCAAGTGATTCTTGTGCCTCACCTCTTGAGTAGATGGGATTACAGGCACCCACCAAAGCGCTGGGCTAATTTTTGTATTTTTAGTAGATAGGGTTTTGCAATGTTGGCCAGGCTGGTATCAAACTCCTGACCTCAAGTGATCCACTTGCTTTGGCCTCCCAAGGTACTGGTGTGAGCCATGGCGCCCAGCCTTCTTGTGTCTTTCCTGCCTATAGTTTGGGATATAGAGCTTTTGGGACAGCAGGGAGATGACAGTCTCTTAAGCCCAAGCAAAACAGAAAGCATATTAGAGGCCAGGACTCAGGAAGGCTCACATACTGAGAAAAGAAAGTAAACTGGAAGATGTTTGTTATTTTTTGAGACAGGGTCTTGCTCTGTTGCCCAGGCTTGATTGAGTATAGTGGCATAAGCATGGCTCACAGTAGCCTTGATCTTCTGGGCTAAGACATCTTCCTGCCTCAGCATCCTCATGAGCTGGGATTATAGCTATGATCCACCATGCCCAGCTAATTTTTTAATTTTTTGTAGAGATGGGGGTGTGGGGGGAGTCTCACTATGTTGCCCAGACTGGTCTTGAACTACTGAGCTCAAGCAATCCTCTTGCCTCAGCCTCCCAAAGTGCTGGGATTACAGGTGTGAGCCACCACACCCAGCTGAAAGATTTAAAACATAGATAAAAACCACCTGGGGGATTTTGTTAAAAAGTACATTCTGAGTACTTTTAGGTGGGACTTGTGATTCTTGCACTTTTAACAAGCTCCCACGTGATGCTTATGATGCTTTTCCAAATACCATGGAACTAGAAGACAGTTAAAGAAGTAAAAGCATCCATGTTAACCTTGGTTCTGAGTGAAGATGTGAAAAAAAGCAGCCCCTCT